CATTTTTTGTTATGGCCAAAAATATCAATTTTAGACTCATCCTTCCAGAGAACATTCTTCCACAAATCTACAAAAACTTTTGCGAACAGTGATTTTCTGCAAAAGTTTTCTCCTGGCTACCCTCCTGATTGCCATTGCTATTCAGCTTGTTGTAGGGTAATTTTGAAGGACGTCCAAATTTAAATAGTAACTATGGTCTTAAAGTTTCTCAGTTTATTTTAGATTGTCTTAAAGTAAGATGATGAATTCCAAAACATGGAATTATGTGGATATGTGGTTATATGGTTTTATAATCCCTTCCCAGACTGATGAGCAGACAACACACTTTCTGAGGTCTCTTTAGATTGTGGCAAGGTGCATTGCACTAACCTGTATGGACAAGACCAACTTTACTATGTTTCTTACCTCTATATAGTAGAGGGCCTCCATGACATTGTACTGGTGATTGGCACTTTGATTGGTTAACTTAGTAACCAATTATTTTAGCACCTGTTAATACTTATTTTGTTGACTGAGCTACTGAACCTTATATGTCCCTTGCACATGCTCTAGTTCATATTTACCTAATTCTTTTTCTTATACATCATTTTCTCTAAACCAGTGGTTCTCAAAGTTCTATGGTCCACGGACCACTTACACCATGTCACAGATGTGGTGGACCACCTATGCCTGTGTCCACTTCTTACTCTGTAAAAATCATCACCTCTTAATGTACTAAAAATAACTAATATTGAATTATATTTTATGAAAAGTACTAATTTATTTACAAACAAAGCTGCATATTTTGCAAATATTTTTATAACTTAAAAAGTTATTGAAAATGGAGCTGCTTTTGTTGAGCCATCAGAGAAGTGATATCTGGATCCAAGCTGGACAACTTTAGTCTCATGTCCAGAAGCAGGCACAGACATCATATCAAGCACACCTTCTGCTTCCTTGCACATTACATCTATCAATCTGTTGGAATTAGAATTACAGCACTGCTGGTATGGTTCACAAATTACCTCACTCGCATTTTCACTTCTTACTCGCACTATATAAGTTACTTTTACCATATTTAAGCCCTAGTTGATTGTATTACAAGGCAAAGCTGGAGAAAACATAAGCAAACAGACAACAGTGTATTACAAAGAGCAAAACATAATGGCAACCTCGTTAGAGCAGATCAGGACACAACTCCAGGACAGTGAGATAAAAATAAAAAAGAGAGAAGGACAGAAGAGCCTGGTGAGAGAAGTTTGGCAACTTAGTCAGCACAATTGAAAAAAAAAGCACAGGTTACATTATCTGCATCAATTGTGAAACACTTTACAAAAATAACAGACTAAGCTACTTTAGTCAGTTTAAAACTAGGTATCTGGATATGCTGTTTCTAATGGAGTTGATTCAGACTGGCTTCGTGTCAGTACTTTTATCATTTTAAATCGGGTTGGGCGGGTGCAGGTAAAAAAAAAAGCCGACCTGTGCATCACTAACGACAATAGACTGCTGCACTGCCGTAATGACGTCACTGCCAAAACCGACTGACTGTCTCGTTTTCGTTGTGACATTTCATTCGTGATGGATAAAACTAAAGCACTGTAGCACTAGGTGCTGATCGGGAGAATGAAGAGGCGAGGTGGTCATTAAAACACAAAGGGAACAGAAGGGTACAGCCAAGGAAAATGAATGGAAACTTGGCCCTTTCGGCAGACCCTCAAGCCAGCCAAGCCTATGTCTAGACTGGTACTCGCCCCATTACTGACATACACAGTCCCCTTAGCGTCTGGTGAAACCCTGATACCTAGAACCAACCGCTCCCTCCTCCCACTGTTTACAGCTTGCAGTTCTTAACAGTGCTCCTAGGGGGAGCCCCTTTGTAGCGGACACTACAATATTCTTTCCTCTGACTTAAACAGCTTAGACTTGCTTTAAGAAAGATGATTAGGTCAGCCTACGTACCACCTGGTGCATGCTCCCGGACCACACTTTGAGAACTACTGCTCTAAACAATAGAATTTGTGGATGTGAACCCTTTCTTTTAGAAAAAGTAAAAACTACTTTTGATTAAACAAGGGTTTCAGAGTAAATATGTTACATTATTGAATTACATTAGTGGTTCACAGACTTTCATGCAGCACTCTGGGTAGTAGTACCAATTAGAATTTGGTTTAAGATAATAAGACCTACTTGAAATATCATGTGTTAAACCCTGATTGGTATAATACCTGCATCGCTTGGTAATTTATCTTAAATGCTTCTCTTGCCTGTCACAACTCTGCTTCTTCTATGCTAATATTATTTAATCTAGAACTTTTTATTGGCTTGTGGTGTATTGACTTCTTCGTTGGTAAACACCTTAGTGAAATTTTAATTTAATACATTAACTATTTCCCTTTTACATCTAGAAGCCTCCCATTTTCATATCTGAGACACTTACATTTTACTTTTGCTACTGTTAATTTTGTTTTTTGCCTCCATTGGAATATTCTTTTCGATCTCTTTCATTGACTTTTAGGGTCCCATTTTACCTTTAATTGCAATGTATTGTACTTCTTTTATTTACCTGTATACTGTTTATTTTCATTAAGTGCTTTCTTTCTCTTTGTGTTTTGCTAAACTGATGTACAATAATCTCAAGATGCATTAACATCTCTGAAGAAATAGGAACAAAAACAGCAGAATTGGTTATGAACTGGATAAAGCCTCACATAAAAATGTAATGTTAAAATGTAATCATAATAGTATTACAAGTTCCACAGTCATATTTGTCAAGAGTCTAGTTCTGAAAACAAAAGTAAAATTAAAAACAAATCTATAAGAACATTCTGGAGTGGTGTTTTCATTTACTCTAAAAATGCATCAATTTTATTGTGGAATACATTTATCTTTTCTAAAAATATTTGGAAATTCGAGAATTAACATTAAAGTGAATTCATTTAAAGCAGGGCTTGATATTTGGCGCAGGATTGCAGGCATGCCGCACAATTTTAGTTATTCCCACAAATTTCCTGCACGCATTTATTGACAAGCTATCTCCCAGGTAAGATTAGCCTAAATCAATCCACATGTATTCTCTGTCAGATTGAGTTTTTCCAGTATGTTGCATGGCACTACAGTATGATTTCATAACGTTACACTATTTGTGTACATCTCGCATTTGTTATAGACGGACAAATAGGGATAGAAAACGGATTGATTTTAATTTGGAATCATTCATCGTTATTTCAGTGTGAAAGCTTCAAAATCTAGCTAAGTAAATTCAATCAAAAGTCTGCTTTGACAGAAGGCAAGCTCTCAATAAAAAATGCCCCTGAACCTGAAAAAAAATGCAGTGATGGTGATGAGGAGATTGACAAAAGAAAACGCAAAGAGAAAGCGCTCAAAGATAAGTTTCAGGCAAGTTGGCTGAAAATATACCCATGGCACGAAATGAAAAACAGAGAAACGAGCTGTTGAGTTTGCAGCACATTCAGTAGTGTGAGGTTTATATGTTGGTGTTAAAAAAAAAATCATGTACATTAATTACACTCGAATGCAGTTGCTCATAATGCAACACTCAAAAGAAAGTGCGAGACAGAATCAAATAACAATGCTGTGGTTAATGCAATCGGAGCTGCACAATCGCGTGGCGAGGAATAGGTTAAAGGGTTACTTAAAGTGACATTTTGTAGCATAAAGTTAGCTAATTCAATTTGTTGAACTCATGAGATTCATGAAAGATAGGAATATCCTTTTTTGAAGCATCTTAAGATTTATGTATTTGTCAAGGTTTGTCAGAATTGCATCAGGCTATTGTAAGAACACTCTTAGAGTTAGATGCTGCTGTACTGACAAGTCCTGTGTTTTCTTTAATATTAGATGAGTCTGCAAACTTGGTACAGAATGCGCAGGTGGAGCTGCTATTATGAGAAAAAGCCCCCAAGGAGTTCTAAAACTCGGAAGAATTAAATTCAGTTTGAACTGGATTGTACTGCACAGCTCACCAGTTTGCTAGTGAGTGGTTCTAGTGATGCAGCCAGATGTGTGGAACAAGTAAAAAGGTTCCAGCAAGACTTGAGGAAATTTTTTTTAGCAACTCCGCTGTAAGGAGCAACAAGCTTTATGAGTTGCAGAAACAGTCGGAGGAGCCTACACTGAAATGTATCATATACAGTGAGGTGGTTGTCAATTCAAAGTGTAGTGTCGACTGTATGCAGATCACTAAAAGCCCTGAGATATGTGATAGAACATTTGGCTGCCTCCAGCACTTAGGATAAAGCCAACAGTCTTCTAATTACTGTCAGACAGTTCAATTTTGTAGCCCTCTGTCACTTGATGAAAATACTTGGACATGTAGTCCTTCTCTCAAAGCATTTTCAAAAGGAAGACAGACTTCTCCACAGTCCAACCGATGGTTCAGTATACTTAAGAGGAATTGGGAGAGGAACTATTCCATCCTGGTCCTTCAGAGCAAGAGTTTTTTAGCTTCCTGGAAGGTAACAACTTTAAAAGAGACAAATTGATTGTCATACACAAAAGCCTGCCTCTGACAACGTGAAAAGCAGATACGTGGGTTACTTGATGAGGAAGAGAAAAAAACTATCATCCTTATCCTAAGTTATGTTCTTGTACCTTAAATGGAGAGGAGATTGGCAACAAGGTACGACTGTCTTTACAATTAACTTATGAATTGTTGCGTATTAATTATTTCGATATACTTGTTTCATTAGTCGACTATTATTCCCCACCAAGATGCTGAAATCCCCCCCTGTGAGCTTCATATAAAGGGGGAATTCCCCCTCATTTTCAAAATTAATTTTCAAGCCCTGATTTAAAGGCAGGATTATTGAAATCTCACGGTGCAATGTGCGTAGCTTTTAGTAGTTTTAGTTCCAGTTAGTATTGGTCTATATAGTGGCATAATGGCATTACATATTAACTCTATTTTTTTATTTAGACACTTTTTTTCATTTAAATTAATGCACCAGTGGCAGTGCAGGTCTGTCTGATGAAAGATTATGTCTGCTTTGTTGATGTAGCACAAGCATGTGGAGCCATCCTTTAATGCACTATGGATAAATACACTAAGGTGAGCAAAATTGGGGAAGGATCATTTGGGAAAGCTATTCTTGTGAAGTCCAAGGAAGATGGAAAGCAGTATGTTATCAAGGAGATCAACATTTCAAAGGTAGGCCATAACTGTTCTTTTTTTAGTCAATTTAGCTGTTGGTCGCATCAGTTGTTTGAAAGACTGGAATATAAGCTTAATATTAAAATTATTATTCCGTATTCGAGCTACTTTGTGTACTATTGTAAGTGTCCCTAAGAAAAGGAATCTATTTCTTACACACTAAACCCAGGCTGCCCAAATAACATCATTTGCTTCATTCTGTAATATTGCTACAAGCAGCTCCTTAATTTAATTGAAAATTAACAGGATAATTAGCAGATATTGTAATGAGCTGATCATATCAAAGATTACAGATGATATCTGTAATGGAATAGATTGGAAAGACCGCAAATTGAGTAGCCCTGCTGTAGTCCATACTCCAGATGTGCTTGGGGAACAATTCTCACAACTTGTAAATTTTTATTAAAGCTCTGAGCAAGGTGGTCAAGTATACTGTAAACAAATGTCACAGAACAGATTGCATGTTACATTCATAATGCCATCAGAAAACATGGTGCAGAGCTGAAATACAATAAATCATTTAATATTATTCACTAGAACTAGTTCGTTTTCACTAGTTAAAAATTTCAGATGTGCTCTGTTGTGCCCCATAACTTTGGGGTGACTAAATACAGTTATGGTTGTCATTTGGGTAGAGATTGTGTTTCAATCCTTGGTTGAATTCTCTAGGGCTTATTAATATCCTTAACTTGTTATACATTGGATGCCTTGGAATACCTATATTTAGATGTTCCTTACTGACTTTTGCTGTGTCCATAAACAAATTGCCATCAGTACATTTTATCTTTCCTCATGTCATTTTTTTTTGCTCTGAAGATGTCTAACAAGGAGAGGCAGGAATCGAGGAGAGAGGTGGCTGTTCTTGCAAATATGAAACATCCCAATATTGTCCAATACAGGGAGTCATTTGAAGGTAACATCATTTCAAAGTGCTTGATGAATATTTTTTCCCATGTTGATACCTCAAAAAGAGGCCATGGAGACATGTACTGTTGTGAGAAAAAGTTTGTGAACACTTTGGAATGATCTGGATTTCTGCATGAATGGCTCCTAAAATGTGATCAGATCTTCATCTAAGTCATAATAAAAAAATAAAGACAGTCTTATTTATCAAACAACACACATTTTACATTGTCATATCTTTATGGAACAAATGGTTTAAACACTAAAGGTCATTGATGGGGAAAAAGAATGTGAACCTCTAGGATAATGACATCTTGAAAAGAGGGTAAGTGGTGCAATATGGCCCGATCAAAAGAGTTTTCAGAGGACCTCAGAAGAAGAGTTGTTGAAGCTCTTAAGACCGGAAAGTTTTATAGAAAGATTTCTTAAGACTTGGGCCTCCGTCAGTTTACAGTCAGGCAGATAGTTTACAAATGGAAGAAATTCAGCACTGTTGCTACTCTGCCTAGGAGTGGGCGTCCTACAAAGATCAGTGCAAGGGCACGCCATACAATCCTCAAACAGGTGACATGGAACCCTAGAGTGACAGTGATGCAGATGAATGTCTGTGTTCGTGAGAAATGTTGTGGCGTGATCTGAAGCAGGCCATGCAAGCAAGACATCCCAAAAATATACACGATTGAAACAGTTTTGTATAGAGGAATGGGTAAAAAAAAACTCCTAACCGCTGTGCAGGTCTGATCAGCAGATACAGAAAGCTGTAGTAGTTCAGGTGGGTAGCTGCGTCAGCATGCATAGGCTGCAAAGGAACAAGTAATAGGTTTATTCCATGCTGAAAAAAGAAGAGAGAAACGTTTCGGCCGTGGAGCCTTCTTCAGGTGTGAAGGCTGAAGAAGACCTGAAGAAGGCTCCACGGCCAAAACGTTTCTCTCTTCTTTTTTTCAGCATGGAATAAACCTATTACATGTTCAGATACAGAAAGCTTTTGGCTGAGGTTACTGCCAAACCTGCCAAAGGAGTTTCCATTAGTTACTAAATATAAGGGTTCACATCCTTTTTCCATCAATGACCTTGATTGTTTAAACATTTGTTTAATAATGAAATGGCAATGTTAAATATTGCGTGTGTTGTTTATTAAATAAGACTGTATTTATTATTATGACTTAAATGAAGATCAGATTGCATTTTAGGAGCCATTCATGCAGAAATCCATATAATTTCTAAGGTTTCACAAACCTTTTCTAACAACTGTATGTTTCATCCACCAGTGTGCAGATCTACATTTAATCTTATTACAGTTGAGCTAATCAGAAATGATTTGATAAAAGGCATTAAAGTTCCTAAACACAGTGGGAAGAATAAGTCATGTACTGCTCACAATGTTGGTTATGTATAGTGTGATTTGTACAAAAAAGGCCAAATAAAGAATAGATCCAAAGAGGAACTTTGATTAAGTCTCCTTAGCAACTATGTGGAGGATGTACTTTCAAAAGCAGATATCATGTTCACTGGTTGGTTCATAAAAGAAGAACCCTGTGCATTTTCACAGTTGTCCAATCTCTGATTTTTTTAATCAAATGCCTTTATTTCAACATTAATGTTTTGACATATACACATTTTAACCTTAAAACATAGAAATCTTCATTTGTTTGTATAGTATGAAGAAGGGAAACAATAAATAAGTGATGAAATACTTCAAAAGTTGTATTTAGGTATATCATTTTTTATGTACAAGTTTCAGAAAGTAAGAAAATGTGTTACTGAAGTCAGGAATACACAGTTAAATTAATTGAGTATAATGAGATTGCTTATTATACTTTGTGTTTTTTGTGTACAGAAACTGGCTGCTTGTATATAGTGATGGACTATTGTGAAGGTGGGGATCTATTTAAGAGGATTAATGCTCAGAAAGGTGTTTTGTTCTCTGAAGATCAGGTAAAGTATTTCAGTATAAAGGTTAATGTCTTACAAAAAATTGTATTGGTGTACAAATGTTAAGCTCTTTAAAATGCTCCTTCTATTTTGAGTGTACTGAATAGAAAAAAATTGAGAATAATGTCAGAACCATAATATAAAGGCTTTTTATTAATTCCTTTTCTGGTACCAGTTGACTTCATGGAAAAGTCACTTGAATTTGTTGTGTCATAGATCATGGATTGGTTTGTACAAATCTGCCTTGCCCTGAAACATGTGCATGACAGAAAAATTCTTCACAGGGACATAAAATCACAGGTAAGCAAAATGTAAAACATTGAGGGGTGTTTTGTTTTCCACTAAAAGTTACTTAAACATATTGAAAACATTATTCAAAGTATAGTGAAGCCTTCCAAAGATTGTTATAATTTTCTATTTGGTGGACCGCAGTATAGAAATTTCAATTACAGTGCCTTGTAGAAGCATTCAGACTTGCCCAGTTTTCATATTTTGTTGCTTTAAAACTTGCAGTCATGACAGATTAAAGTAGCAGTAAAGTTGTTACATGCTCATATTCAAAGAAAAAATACAGAAAGTAAATAGATCATCAGTAAGAAAGAAAAAATTGAAAAGTTATGAATTCACAAACATTCAAGCCACTTGCTATGGCACACCTTAATTTAGGTTCTCAAGTCCAAAAATGTCTATTTTGGTCTGATCAGACCATAGTATTCTCTTCCATTTTTTTCTCAGAGGTTCCCACATGCCTTCTGGAAAACTGTAGTCCAGATTTGATGTAAGTTTTTTGTCACTCTCCAATGAAGCCCAAATTTGTGAAGCACCCGGGCAATTGTCATATGCATAGTTTCTCCCATATCAGCCATGGAAGACTAATTTCTTTCGAGTTGTCATAGACCTTTTGGTGGCCTCCCTGACAAGTGCTCTTCTTGTCTGGAAATTGTTTTCGAGGGCAACCTGTTCTCCACAGTTATGTCATATTTTCTACCTTTCTTTATAATTGACCTTACTGTGCTTTGGGGATTTGTAATGCCTTGGAATTTTTCTTATATCCTTCCCCAGATTTTTCAGTAGCCCCATCTTAGATTACTTTAGAAGTTCCTTTGTCTTCATGATGTAGTTTCTGTTGGGAGCTGTACTAATCAACTGTGAGACCTCCCAGAGATAGTTATGTTTTTACTTAACTTATCTGAAACATTGATTGCACACAGGTGGACTCCATTCAACAAATTAAGTGACTTCTAAAGACATTTGGTTTTAACAGAACCTGTTTATGTATTCACCCATTTTACTATGATCTACTCTATGCAATCACTTATTATCTGTAAATTCTATAATTTAGGAGAATATGTAGAATTTTGTTTTCACTTTGACATTATAGAGTGTTTTGTGTAGACCAATAGCAAAAAATCCCATATAAATATCTTGTGATTCTATATTGTAAAAGTTAGATGTGAACAAGTTCAAGGGGGTGAATACTTTTTATACTGTTGTCACTCTATTTGGACTTCCAACTTGTACTCTGACACCAAAGCTTTGGTTTACAGCATTGTATGAGCCATGAAAACAAAGTCATTGGCTCTCAGAAGTTTGTGCTTAATTTGGTGTAGTATTGTGTCTTTCATTTTACTGTATACTGAAAAGACTGTGTAAAGACTCTCTCAAAGAGAGGGGGTTCAGTTTCTGTAATCAGTTGTTGCCTTGTTCTGAGGTCACTTGAGTTCTATTTATCCATCCTATCTCAAAAGCATTTGTAAGAATGTTTTCCTACATAACCTGCATATTCTTGTTTTTCTGTGGAAACTCAGTCAGCATGCGGTTCTGATTGTTAGAAGGATCTGAACACTTCTGCAATGCACTGTACTTGCTACACGTTGTATCATCTCTTTTTCGTGTCTCTAATGTCAGTGGAGTTTTATTTATTTTATTTTGTATCTTCTTTAGAATATCTTTTTGACCAAAGATGGGACAATTCAGCTGGGTGATTTTGGAATTGCAAGGGTCCTCAATAGGTATTGTTTTAAATCAATAATGTTTTAAATTTTGTATAAATTATTTTTTTCTGTGAAGAAACTTGTGTATTATGTCAGGCAGTTATCCTGCAATACTCAATGCTAACAATGTTAGCTCATGTTTTTAAATTGGGCAGTTGGTACTATATAAATAAGGTCTGCTGAGGAAGAGAAAAAACACTTAAAAAAACAACTTAATTAGAGATGTCTACTGCCTTCAGCAGTTTTTAATAATCCCCTGAGTTCCTTGTGTTTAGCATTTGGTAATGATTCAGTATTTGTTTCAAAGTGAATATAATTTTTTCCTGTGTTTGATATAACTACCTTACTAAATTTGTAATCTACTTTTTGTTTCTTTCAGCACTGTTGAATTGGCTAGAACATGCATAGGAACTCCATACTACTTGTCACCTGAAATTTGTGAAAACAAGCCTTACAATAACAAAAGGTAGCATTTTCTGTAGTTTAATTTACAAAGAAATATATGGGCTATGGTTCTGATTATTGTTGATAGATATTGCCAATTAAAATATCACTCAAGATCTCAATTGGAGATATTATGGAATTTTCAAATGACAAAATGTGGCCAGTCAAGTCATTTGTCCTAGTACTTTACAAATGGTATGTATTTTACTTTTCTGCTGACATGGGGCCTGTGTTGTTGGTCCACGGGGAAAAAAAATTAAGGCAATCCTATTTTTGCCTGCTGCTGAACAATAAGAATACATCTTTAAAAATTGAGGATCAGGTAATGTTGAGTCACGCCATTGTGATGCCCTCACCAGTATGATTGAACTAGTATGCTTCGTTGTGGGGCAGAAGATGACTCTTTTTAAAATTAATTTTACTCCCATTCATTCTGAGTCTTTTGTGTGTGATTTGACAAAATTGATGTATCCTACCTTGAGCTCCCCAAGGCTTGAAATTACTGCCTGTTTGATATTCTGTAAAAAGTATGGTGTTTATAATAGTTTCCAAGCCTGAGATTGTATTATGTTCTATATTTTAAATATGATTTTAGAGTAGCTAGGATCTGGAAGTATCATAAAAATGGTAATACGATCTGTCTTGCATCTTACTTTTTCTTTTTGCTATTATTGCTGTTGTTAAATGGTGAGATTAATTTATCTTGAAATGTTAAATGTTCTTGAAATGTTAAATTATTCTAACTAAAGTTTTTGAAAAGCCCTTTGGCATAACAAGATGCCAAAGTCATTAACATTTAATGGAATACAGATGTATTTCTTTCCATCTTATTCAGTGATCTTTTGTAAAGCACCCCTAATTCTGTATTTTCCATTTTAGTGATATCTGGGCCTTGGGGTGTGTGCTATATGAAATGTGCACCCTTAAGCATGCAGTAAGTATTCACATGTATTTTTCAATGTTGTCTACATAACTGTGTGCTTGTTAAGCTTGTTCTACACTTTGCAGTACCTTTTTTGATTACAGGAAATTATTCCTGCTCTTATACATTTGAAAGCGAAAGTAATTCAAGGGTTTATTTAGTCAGTTAGATGGATTATGTGTTATACAGTAGAATCTCAACATTTGAGAGGAATGCAGAGAACCGTTTCAAATAGCCAAATTCGCATATACATCCAAGTCCCCTCCTACGTCATTGCATAATGACATTAGAGAAATCTAGTGTTTCTTTAAAAAAATGTACAAGAAACTAGATGGTTAGGTAGAAAAGTCATTTGCAAATTAGTAAAAAATGCAGGACTTTCCATTACTGAAGAAGTGATAAGGTAGTGCAGTACTCTTGGTTTTGATAACTTTTGCTAAATGAAACTGATTTCTATGGACTTTAAATCAAATATTCAACTATGACATGAATGAAGTGTTAGTGTAACAGTCTTTTCCGCTACTTTTCTTAGTTTTTCTTAACAGTTGTAAACGATCTCCAAGATGTGTAAAATTAAGTAATAATACCACATTAGAGAACCCCACCCTAATGATTCTGTTTAACAATGTAAAAAATTGATATAAAGAAAAAGCTGAACAAAAAAACAATAGTATACTTTATTAATCTTCTTATTTTTTAGTTCGAAGCTGGAAACATGAAGAATCTGGTGCTTAAGATAATCCGTGGGTCCTACCCTCCTGTCTCTGTCCATTACTCTTATGATTTACGCAATCTGATGTCACATCTCTTCAAGAGAAATCCTAAGGATAGACCTTCCGTAAACTCCATATTGGAGAATCCTTTTATATCCAGACGAATACAAAAGTTTCTCACGCCACAGGTGAATGAAGTTTTCATGAAAATTTTTTTTTTACAAAAAAAGTATCCAGTATTCTCTTGTCAGTTCATTAGAAATAAAGTGGTGAAAAATAAGCTCATGTGTTTTAAAAACAATTATTGTTTTTAGTTCCTGATTTTAAGTTTTTGGTTTTCTAGTACACGTGGGATGTCAGTTTAGTATTGTCAATAGGGAGAGCTGTAAAAATGTGAAATGTAGCTCATGAGCATATTCCCATTTTTACAGACACTTGAGAAAGTGATGCTGTACTGAATATTTTTATTTACTTTGTAGTAAACTAAGTTTTAAAAATAATTAGGCTAGTGAAAATGGAAGTGTCCTTTAAGCATAAGGTGTTCCAACCTTCTTGCTTATTATTATTAAGCAAAAAGGTTTCAAATAATCCTAGACGCCCATGGATTTATTTGGTTGTTTGTGCTGATTCCAAAATTTCTGTATCTTGGTGGCCAAAATAATTTACAGTATTTTAAATGAGAACTTACTTGTGCTTTGTAAGTAACTACAGTGGCTATTAAAATAAGTCACCCCCTTGGACGTTATATACTGTATTATTGTGTTCCAAAATGGAATCATTGAACTGGGACTTTTTGCCTTTGATTGACAGAAAGCTTTCTATAATTGTGAAAACAATTCTACAGATCCTCCTTTAATAAATATAAAAAGGCAAATAACTGATTGCATACATATTCACCCTTTAGAGTCCATATTTGTTACAGGCACAGTTGGGAAAAATAAGTCATGAGTCTTCTTGGAGAAGTTTCTTCTAGCTTTGCACATTTGAACACTGCAATATTTTCCCATTCTTGCTTGCAGAATGTCTGAAACTCTCTCAGGTTGGATGGGAAAAGTTGGTAAACAGCAATTTTTTCAACTCCTGTGACAGGATTGGATTGAGGTCTAGGCTTTGAATAGACTTCTCTAGAACATTTTTTTTCTTTTTAAACCACTCCAACGTGGCTGTATGTTTTGTGTCATTATTCTACTGGAGACGAATCTTCTCCCAAGTCCCATGTCTGTTGCAGACTGCATCAAGTTTATCTCCAAGATTTCTCTGAACATTGCTTCATCCATTTTAACTTCTATCTTCACAAGTTTTTCAGGCCCTGAAGCAGTGAAGCAGCCCCATACCATGATACCACCACCACCACTAGGGGTAATGCTCCTAGGTTGATGTTCACTCTCACACTTGCGCCAAACATAATGCTTGTTGTTGAGGCCAAACAGGTCAATTTTGATCTCATCAAACCATAGAATTTTCTTCCACTTGGTCTCAGAGACTTCCACATGCCTTCGTGCAAAGTACAGTCGAGATTTGATTTTACAGTTTTTCCCATCTCAGCCACGAAAGCTTGTAATTCCTTTAGAGTTGTTACAGGCCTTTTGGTGGCCTCCCTGACAATTCTTGTTTGGAAATTAATTTTCATTCATTTTTTTTCCACAGTTGTGCTATATTTTCCACATTTCTTTATAATGGATTTTACTGTGCTTTGGAAATCTGTAATGCCTTGGAAATTTTCTTATATCCTTGGTGTTTTTCAGTAACCCTATCCCAGATTTACTTTGACAGTTCCTTCGTCTTCATGGTGTAGTTTCTGTTGGGAGCTGTACTTATCAACAGTGAGACCTACCAGAGATATTTATGTTTATCCTGAACTTATTTAAGAAACCCAGATTGCACACAGGTGGACTCCATTCAACAAATTAGGTGAGTCCTAAAGACATTTGGTTTAATCAGATCCTTTTTAGGTGGATCTTGGTAAAAGGGGTGAATACAGATGCAGCCATTCAAAATGCGTGGTACAAACCCGTGGTACAGTAACCTACCCAATATGATAAAGAAATAAATGATTATTTTGTTTATTTCTTTTGCACATTTATTTGAACATTTCCATCGATTGTACAAGCACTTGGAAACTGTCCAATCCCTAGTACATCAGGCATTTTCTTTTACGCTGCAGGCATTCTCCCGGTCTGGCGCCGGTCTGTGTCTTCTAGGACAGTGGTTCTCAAACTGTGGTACGCGTACCGGTAGTGGTACGTGGCGTGCCGCCAGGTGGTACGCCAAATGACCCTGGAACTGTGTTGTGTGCGCTGAAAAAATCAGGACGGGTTTTCATATTTTGTATTTTTATACGTGTCGAATACGCAGCCTACTTACTACGATACAGTGCGCGCTAATACTTCAGTGGACACAAGAGATACTCTGTAATTCTATACCACTCTATAGGAATGCGTGCTACGGACGCAAGTGACCAATTGTATTTAAAAAAAGCTGCTGTATCTCCAGCAAATAGGGAGAAAGGAGAATGTGCGTGATTTTGGAAGAATGCCAACGTTGCAAACACAGGAATGCATAGAAATGCGTGCTACGAACGCTGGTAATCTTGTGAGCACAGGAAAGCGTGAAAAATAACAGAAAATATTTAAGAACTGTTCTAAGTTAATTTGAGAAAAATACACCGAGCGTCTCTGTGTTTCTCTCCCATGCGCATGAAATAAATACATAAAATAAACACTGAAATAAAAACGGAAACATGGAAAAATGCAAGCTTGCGGATTGCTAAAACAGGTAAGCCCCACAATATTATGTGTGGAGAAAAAGCTGCTGAACAGCTTGACCTGCTGCCCCCCCGAAAGACACAGTCATTCATAGAATTATTGAAATGAAGGATTATATCAAAAGTACGCTGACAGCGCGCGTTAAGATTAGCAGATGTTTTTCACTGCAATTAGATGAGTCTGTAGTCGATTTGGCCAATTTGCTCGTTTACGTTAGATACGAGTTTGAGGGTACGTCCAGTGAGGACTTTCTGTTCTGTAAGCCGCTACCAACAGGAACTACAGGAGAGCACGCATTTCAGCTTCTGAATGAATTTATCGGAGAGAATGGCATCGACTGAATAAATTTGTCCGAGTTTGTACAGACGATGCTAGAGCAATGACAAGCCGACACAGGGGTGTAGTTGCACGAATTAGAGA